AAGGAGAGAAGCAACTTAGAACTGAGGAGAAATTTCCTGACAGTTAGAACAATTAATCAGTGGAACAACTTGCCTCCAGAAGTTGTCAATGCCCCAACACTGGAAGCCTTTAGGAAGAGATTGGATAGCCATTTGTCTGAAATGGTATAGGGTTTCCTTCCTAAACAGGGGGTTGGATTAGAAGACCTCCAAGGTCCCTTCCAACTCTGCTATTGTATTGTATAGCATTGTAAATCCCCAGAGCCAGAAACACAAACAAGGAAGCTAATGGATATGTCTAGATGGACTTTTTGGATTTTAATTCTTACCATTTCAACAGAGATACATTTAATCACACTTTACTATGATCAGGTGACATGTTCAGAGGTGGGTTCCTACTGGTTCAGATCAGTTCGGCCGAGTAGATAGTAACTCGGCCTGCCATATCCCCGAACCAGTTCTATTGTCAGTGGCACCATCTTGAGGAACAATCTTCATTGCAAACATTTATTTTTTTTTCCTTTTCTAATGTTCCACGCATGCGCAGACCTTTTTAGCTGCAAATGCGCATGTGCACAGAGAAAAATTTTTTGCACACTGAACCCGCAGTAATGCTGGTAGCAACCCACCCCTGGCATGCTGTCTTGTCCAGTCTGTTAACTAACTTCGTGTTAAGGCTCAAGAGCCCTCAAATAGAGTGACTGCTTTGTGCTAACAAGTTGGTGTCAACTGTTTAGGACCATGTTGATAGGGTTTCTCAACCTGAACCGTTCTCTCTCTCTCCCTCTCTCTCTCCCTCTCTCTCTCTCCCTACAGGGCAGCATCAGCACAATAATCAGATCCATCCATCTTGCTGCTTGTCATCCTCTTCTCTTTTCATCCTCTTCTCTCAGCATTATTGAATTCTCAACAAAGCTAAGTCTTCACAAAATGTGTTCCAAATAGGATATTTTGAGCCTGGTCATCTTTGACTCAAGTAAGAACTCTGAATTGATTTGTTGTATGATCAATTTGTTTATTGTCTTGGATTTCCACAATATGCTCTGGACTTTTCTTCTGGCACCAAAGTTCAGAAGCATCACTGTACTTCTTATCTTGCTTCTTCAAAGTCCATAAAGTATCACTTTGAAAAACACTTGTCTGCGAGATCAGGATCTTTATCTGAATAGACCTATCCTGGCATTCGAACATCAATTTGAAGGCCTTCATGTCATACCTTCAAATATTGTAGAACAAAAAATAAAGGCAAACAATTATTTTTAGCCCAGGGGCTACATTTTAAATATTTGACTACAAACAATAAAGCTGGTAAATGAATGATATTCCTTTTTGTTTTGGGCAGAGGTTTTTCGTTTTTTGAAACTAATGGACCAACAATTAGGAAAAAATCATGGAAGTTTGGTTTTGTACATGTGCCTCTCAATTGAAGCGAAATTACTATATGCACAACGATGGAAAGATTCGACACTATCCTCAATGAAGTAATGGTTAGAGATGAAGGGGTTTGATGAGATGGTTAAATTGAGTTCTTTGATCAGAGAAAAAACAATACCTATGTTTATAATTGACTGGAAACCCCTTATGGACTTTTTGAATAAAATAGAAAAAAAAAACCTTATATATGTATTGGAAGATTAGATAAGATAGATCATAGAAAGAAGAGAATTAAATTGTAATTATAGACTAAAGGTAAATGTATAATTGTACCAATAAGTACTGAAAAAAACAAAAGCTACTTCTTTTGGGGAGGTTTCTTTTACTTTTTTCCCTTTCTTGCACTTTTAATTTTCTCTTTTATTTCTTTTATTTTCTTTTATATATGTGTCTGTATCAGAGGTGGTGTTTACCCGAACTGGTAGCAGAAATCATGGGTGGATCCACCACTCGCTCCGGTTCTATGCCATCCTATTTAGGCATGTTTTTGAGGCCGGGTGCATGCACAGAATGCGTTCGAGGGAGCAAAGTGCATGCGTGGAATGCCAGGTGCAGGTACGCATGGTGAACCAGTAGTAACAAAATGTGAAACTCATCACTGGTGGGTGTGCGTGTGTGTTTGTGTGTGTGTGTGTGTGTGTGTGTGTGTGTGTGTGTATATATTGTATACACAGATAGTCCTTGACTTGCAGAAATTCATTCAGTGACCATTCAAAGTTACAACAGTACTTAAAAAGTGATTTATGACCATTTTCCACACTTGCAACTGTTGCAGAAGCTCATGGTCATGATCAAAATTCAGATGCTTGGCAATTGATTCATTTTTATCATGGTTGCAGTTTCCCAGGGTCATGTGATTTCCCTTTCACAACCTTCCGACAAAGCAAAGTCAATGGGGAAGCCAAAGTCACTTAACAACAGTGTTACTAATCTAACAACTGGAGTAATTCATTTAACAACTGTAGCAAGGAGGCCGTAAAATGAGGCAAAATTCACTTAACAAGTGTTTCAGTTAGCAACAGAAATTTTGGGCTCAATGGTGGCCACAAATTGAGATTTCTCTCTCCCTCCCTCCCTCCCCCCTCTCTACATACATATATACATCCATCCATCCATCCATCCATCCATCCATACATACATACATACATACATACATACATACATACATACACACACACACACACACACACACATACATACATACATACATACATACATACATGAGTATCTTCCTATCAGTTCTTCTAGTGAATAAGATGATGCAGTGCACAATGGTGTTGTGTTACAGGTCTTATTTAATTAATGTTACAATATATACCCACCACTTGGAACATGATTTTGATTAAAGAATTGTAACATTGCACTGTAAATGTCAGATGGGAGATGAGACAAAGATGCAATGACATTGTATTAATGGTGAATGTGTTATTTCAGCCTCAATGCTCAAGAAATGTTGATTTAGTGTTGTTTGGGGTTTGCCCTTTTCTCCCTTTTTTGTACCATAATTACTGAAAGCACAATCACAAACCATTTCAACACAGGGAACCGTGCAGAAGAAGCTAATGCAACTGCACAGAAACATTCTGAAAAGGAAAACAAAAAGGCTTGTGTGGATAGACCAAGTAGGGGACAAATCAACAAAGAAAGAGAGGGCAAAAATAGAAGAAGGGGAAGGAACAATCTCCTTATCTCTGCTGTTTCTTCAAATGGCCATGCAGTATTGTCCCAAAGGTGTTTTTTTTCAAGAAGCAACTGGACTTTCTGGTTTTTCCTTGAAGGTGTTTTGCTTCTCATCCAAGAAGCTTCTTCAGCTCTGACTGGATCGTGGGGAATGGAAGGATTTATACTCCTTGCAGACAGCATTGCATTCTTTTAGTGAGTCGTTAAGGCCACCTGGAGGTTTATCGGTGTCATCAGGGTCACCTGAGTGGTGCAAATAGATGTGGAGCCTTCTTGGAACTGTTGAAAGGACTGTGTAGTAGATTGGAGATAGATGATGTTGTATCCTATCTCCAATCTACAGCACGGACTTTTCAACATCCTCTCTAAAAGGAAGCAAATGACCAACTGTCTGCAAAGAATATAAACCCTTCCATTCCCCATTATCCTGTCAGAGCTGAAGAAGATTCTTGGATGAGAAGTGAAATGTCTTCAAAAGAAAAAACAAGAAAGTCCGGTTGCCTCCTGAAAAAGCACCTTTGGGACAACCATGACCTGGATGACTGAGAATCTCTGCAGTCCTTTCAACAGTTCCAAGTAGGCTCTCCACCTATGGCACCACTCAGGTGATCCTGATGACACAGATAAACCTCCAGGTGGCCTTAACGAGTCGCTAAAAGAATGCAAATGACCGACTCTCTGCAAGGAGTATAAATCTTTCCATTCCCCACCATCCAAGAAAAATCAGAAAGTCTAGTTGCCTCTTGAAAAAAACACCTTTGGGACAACCATGACTTGGATGATTGAAAATCTCCATAGACATTGGATGATGCAGTGCAGTATTTCAGCCCAACTCTGCCCACAGTCGGGAGTTCGATCCTGACAGGGTTCAAGGTTGACTCAGCCTTCCATCCTTCCAAGGTGTGTAAAATGAGGAGCCAGATTGTTTAGGGCAGTATGCCGACATTGTAACTCACCCAAAGAGTCCTGTAAAGTTTATAGTGTGGTATATAAATGGTTACTTGCTTGATAGTTAGCAAGACTGGGTGCCCTCAAAATTTCTCCATATGAAGGGAAAATTCTTTCACAATTCTCAGTGACAAGATTCATTCATTTACCAGCAGAGAAAAAAAATTGGAAGGAATTTTGGGTCTCCCATTGACTTTGCTTGCCGGAAGCTGGCTGAGAAAGTTCCAAATGATGTTCACAGGAACGCTGTTATAAGTACGAGGACCAGCTGTAAATCATTTTTTTCCAGTGCCATTATAACTTTGAATGGTCACTAAACAAATGGTCATAAGTTGAAAACTCTTTTGTATCTAAGTGCCTCATTTGAAAGTTAAGTGCTCGCTCAGATTCTTGTGTCATAATTTTAACTTTTCCTCTAACAAATATTGCTGATCAGATTTTTAGGTTTGGTAGTCTTGATTGTTTGGGAGAAAGGTCTGATATTTACCACTGTTGCACAGATTTTCCGACTTCTCTATAATTTTACAATCAGAATGAATTGGTTTTACTTGTAGTTTGTGTTTGGAGTTTTCTAGGTTGGTTGTCTTGCCCTGGGAGGAAGCACAAGAAATGAAAGAAAATATTAAAAAGTAACATATCAACTAAAAGCATCAGATAGCAGTGGGAGAACAACATGATTAATTTGTCCAATACATTTTCTTTCTAGAGGGAGAAATATCAGTCAGCTGCAGTACAAAGAGCAGAAAGTCCAGATTCGAAAAGGTCTCGTTTCAAATCCATCCTTTTTGAGCTCAGCAGAATTCCAAGAAAATCAAATGGGTGTTGAGGCCACCTTGTGCGAAAGAAAACACATCTCATATTTTTTGTGAAAAAACCAGGGCATGCAGAGAGTTTGAGAGGCCTGTAAAGTGCTCCTGGGGCTGGGAGGGCAAAATGAGCAAATAAATGGCCAGTTTTTTGCAAAAATGAGCCCATTTTTGCCAAAAAAAGGGGGCATGCATTGCCTTTCGGAGGCTACTAGAATGCTCCTGGGGGCTGGGGGGCAAAAACAAGCAAAAAACGGCCTGCTTTTCACTCGTTTGTGCCCTCCCCAGCCCCCAAGAGCACTTTGCAGGCCTCCCAAAGCCTATGCATGTCCATTTTTGTGAAGGGGGTAGGGTTTCAGGAGGCCAAAAACGCTGTATTCTGTGTATAAGACACACCTATATTTTCTCCCCCTTTTTTGTGGGGGGGGGGGAAGATGTGTCTTATACTCCGAAAAATATGGCATTTTTTATTCCTTGTGAAAATATACTTAAGTCTTGCACCCCAATACTTTTAAGGATGTCATTATGAGTTTTCTCCCAGTCCACCTGAGCCTTTTATTATTATTTTTTACTTTCAGCAGTCTATTTTGCTCTAGGCTGTACCTTTATAGAGTTTTTTTTCATGTTTTATGCCTTTATTGTTAAAATCTTTTTCAAATTCCCAGTTGCAAGATTCTCCCCTATTATCAGACATTAATTGCTTTCTTTTGCTCTTGGAATTTGTTTTTACCTGAATATAGTAAAGTTCACATTTATCAAATACTTTCCCTATATTGGTTAAGAAAAAGGTTCAAATATATATTTAAGTGACCACTTATGAATATTACAGATTAATTTTTCCCATTCTTCACTTTGGTCAGCATGGGATCACAAATGAAAGCAAAAATAAGCCCCAATAGCTGGTTGATTTTTTTGAATTTAGACCCAGGAAATAACTGTTCCTTTCCTTTTAAAAAAATAATCACAACTTGATTTCCTTCGTTTCTTGCAAGGACAAAAACCAATTGCTAAGTCCTCATCTTTTATTTTGTAATAGCATATTCATTGCTGTGACTAAGTATTATTCTATTCTACAGAATTATTATTATGCATGCATTTATGCATGCTGCAACTCTATTTGCTTTACAGTATGTTAAGTTTTAGGGACACGGTGGCTCAGTGGCTAAGACGCTGAGCTTGTCGATCAGAAAGTTCAGCAGTTTGGTGGTTCAAATTCCTAGTGCTGTGTAATGGAGTGACCTCCTGTCACTTGTCCCAGCTTCTGCCAACCTAGCAGTTTGAAAGCATGTAAAAATGCAAGTAGAAAAATAGGGACCTTTCCTTTGGTAGGAAAGTAACAGTGTTCCGTGTGCCTTCAGCATTCGGTCATGCCAGCCACATGACCACAGAGAAGTCTTTGGAAAGCGGTGGCTTTTCGGCTTTGAAAAAGAGATGAGCACCACCCCCTAGAGTCGGGAACGACTAGCACATATGTGTGAGAGGAACCTTTACCTTTATGTTAAGTTTAAAGCAATTTGGTTTCACTGTGCTTTCCTTTTGACATTTTTATTTATTTATAGTCCTCCTTTATTATTTTTACACATAACTCAAGGCAGCAAACATATCCCGCACACCTTTCTTCTCCTATTTTCCTCAGGAATCCCTGTGGGGTGAGTTGGACTGAGAAAGAGAAACTGGCCCAAAGCCACTCGTACCCTGGCTTCTAGCCTTGTCTCTTAACCACTAGACCAAACAGGGTCTCAGACCAAATATTACTTGGTTGTATAATGGTGCAAAAAGTCCATTTTGAAGCAAAATTATACAATCATTTTCTGTAAGATTACACACATTTATGTAATTTGCATCCAACTCAATATTGCTTCTTGCAATATTGTATTCTTGCGTTGATTATTGTTCTTTTGGCAATTTCAATCTAATGCTTCTTTTTCTGCATATTATCTACTGACATTCCACATGCCAAATTAATGTCTATGGAGATTCTCAGTCATCCAGATCATGGCTGCTTTATTTATTTATTTCAAAAAGGCAACCGGTCTTTGTTTTTCCTTGAAGATGTTTTGCTTATCATCCAAGAAGCTTCTTCAGTTCAGAACTGAAGAAGCTTCTTGGATGGTAAGCGAAACATCTTCAACGAAAAACAAAGTCAGGTTGCCTTTTGGGAGGTAAGCATCTTTGGGACTTGCTAAATTAACTGTCCCTTGGTAAGAATCATCAAGGCTTTTTTTGCAGATATTCTGTTTATTTGTTTATTAGATTTCCATGCCTCTCATCTCATCTAGTGAAAAGAGGGAGAGAAGGAGGGAGAGAGAGACAGGCAGACAGACAGACAGACAGACAGACAGACAGACAGACACAGAGACAGAATTCATCCATATACACATTTATCAGAGGTGGTATTCAGCAGGTTCTGACCAGTTCTAGAGAAACAGTAGCAGTAAATGCCACCTCTGACTGTTGTTGTTGTTGTTGTTTATTATATTTATATGCCGCCCTTTTCCCCCGAAGGGGACTCAGGGCGGCTCACAACTCAAACCAGGGAAGGGGAATACAGACAAAAAATTAAAAAATGACACATAACAATGCATAATATAAAACACACAACAGTCATACCATTCGAGACGGGGGCAACAGCTCTTTAGCCCCAGGCCTGTCGGAACAGCCAGGTTTTAAGGGCTTTGCGGAAGGCCTGGAGGGTGGTGAGGGTTCGAATCTCCACAGGGAGTTCGTTCCAGAGGGTCGGAGCAGCCACAGAGAAGGCTCTCCTCCGGGTAGTCGCCAGTCGACACTGGCCGGCGGATGGAATTCGGAGGAGGCCTAATCTATGGGATCGTATCGGCCTAGTGGAGGTAATTGGCCCAGCCCCCATCTCTTCTCTGCCTCCTGAGTCCCAGCTGATTGGGAGGAAATGGGGATTTTGCAGTATCCTTCCCATGGAGTGGGGTGTGAATGGAGATTTTACAGTATACTTCCCCTGCCACGCCCACCAAGCCAGGCCCACCAAGCCATGCCACACTCACCAAGCCACGGCCACAGGAACCGGTAGTAAAAAAAAATTGAATCCCACCACTGAAATATACATATGCATATATACACAGATATACACAGATAGATACCAGAGAGAGAGAGGGAGAGAGAGGCAGAGAGACAGAGAAAGGAGAGAGAGGGGGGAGGGAGGAAGGGAGAGGGGAGGGAGTGTGTTGATGTATTGCTATCCAACAAAAAAAGTGTTATTCTTTTTAAATTTCATCTGTCCAATTTCAACTAAGTATTTATCTGACAACATATAATGATTTTTACTATTTTTTCTTTTTATGTCCTCAGCTTGTGTTTGCCTTTCCTCTGCAGGCCTGACTTTTCTTTTAAGACGTTTGAACTAATTATCTCTTTCAGTTGTAAAACAATCGGCATTCTCTTTTAATATGTCCTCTTTTATTACAGTAATGACAGATCACATTTCTTCCTTTTATGTTGTTTAGTGAATTCCCTTTGGTTTCATGGTTCAAAGCAGGCTGGTATGCTTCCAGACTGACAATTACATTCTCAAGGGAATTTTCATCATGAAGTTTGATTAACTCTACTATGTTTAATTTTCTAGCAACATACACAATAGTAATAATAACTCCTTGTTTAAATCATCAGAAAGGTTCACACTACTGTTAATGTGTCCTGAAAGGAGAAATATTCTAACACATGTTCCATTAAACTTCTATTACCTAATAAATTCAGCTTTATGAGTATTCTGAACATTAAAAATTATTGTTCAACTCTGAGCATATATACGTCTGGATTAACTTGTTCCTGTAACATGATCTTGAGTTAATTTAAAATTAGTCAGAATTATCTCAGATTAAGCGGGGATCATCTGTGCCCCGCAGTTTATGTGTCTATCTGGCACAGATAAACCTCCAAATGGCCTCAACAACTCTCAAAGACCTAATAACTAACCTTGCTAATGACTACAAGGAATATAAATCCTTTCATTCCCCAACATTCTGTCAGAACTGAAGAAGCTTCTTGGATGAATAGTGCAACGTTTTCAAGGGGGAAAAAAAACAAGGAAGTCCAGTTGCCTTTTGAAAAAGCACTTTTGATAGAACCATGACCTGGATGAATGAGAATCCCCAGGTATCTTCTTTGATGTCATATTAACCAGGTGTTGCAAATTGGCCTACCTGTATAACTCTTCAATTTCTTCCTCTGTATCTGAATCCAAGCATGGACCACATCACCACAACACTGAAACATTCACCTTGGACTGAAATGTAGGTCATCCTGTCATTTTTCAGGTGATATTCAAGTGCTGACTTTAGCATTCCTCTGTTAATAATGATGATTTCTCCTTTTATTCTATGATTCCTGTCCATAGTAATAGAGCTGATGATTCTTTCATGAGAAATGACCTATTCCAGTCCATTTCAATTTGCTGATTCCCAGAATGTTGGTGTTGAATCTTGACATTTCTGCTCTGATAATATCAAATTTCCCTTGGTTCATGGCTCTGACAATCTACTTACCAGCATTACATGGATGTGTAATTGTGTGTGTGTGTGTGTGTGTCTGCCTATCATGTCTATATTTATCTTTTTATCTGTCTGTCTATCTATCATATATCTATCTGTTGTGGCCCAGCAGGAGCCGTTGGAGCTGCCACCAGACTCTGACAGCGAGGGGCCCTATGAGTCGGCTCTGGAAGATGTGGAGGACCCTGGACAGGGTTCCGACTCTGAGCAGGGAGCAGAGAGGCTGGTTGGCTACCAGGCGGCACCTGAGGTCTGGAGCAGTGA